TACACCCAATGTGGGGCTCGAACTCACAACCCCGAGATCAAGAGTCACACGCTCCACTGACTGAGCCAGCCAGGTGCCCTTCCATTCTCTTTTTCTTAACCAGCCCCTTTCTCCTTTAAATTACTCATCCACTCTCATGAATTCGGCCCTTGTCTCTATAAGATCAGGGTGAAAATACTGACCTTTCCACAGCTCTGGTTGGAGTTGAGGGCAGAGGGGATGAACCTTGGAGATAAGGGATGGAGGGAACTGTGTTGTCTCCAAGATAAAGACTGGAGGGCATGGGGGGTGGTGGTGGTAGGGGTACATGAGTGGTTTGCATCAGGGCTGTGTCCAGCGCTCCACAGCCCGGGGGATCAAAGCCTGGAATCCTATCCAGGTTGAGGATTCCTGCTGGTGCTAACTCGTCAAAGAGAGGGAGTGCCTTGGAACCAGGTGAGTGTTGGAAGTCTAGAAGCATACTGACTCCAGCAGGCAGATAAGGCAGTATTTAGTAAAGCATGAGCTGTTGAGATGTCAAGCTGAGAGAAGAAAAAACTGAGTAGGGTCCGAGAGCCCAGAACTAATAAGAGGACTAGTATGAAGATTCCATGGCTAGACTCCACAAGACTGTAAGAATGGGCCTAAGGATGAGGGAACAGAAGATGAATCCAAGGTCTTAGATGTTCATACAGAGCTTAGCACAGGGTTTGTGAAGCCACAGTGTAGAAGAGGAAGGGAAACCAGGTACAAGTGTTAGAGTTCAATAAGTTGCTGCTGTCTGAAGTTCGAGGGAGGGACTGGAAGCATTGCAAATGTTCTAGTTGTGCACACTTTATACACAATTTTTTTTTTTCCTGTGAATGTAGTGACAACATTTGAGTGTTTATTTAGGTAGGCTAACTGTACTGTTCTTTTTTTTTTTTTTTTAAAGATTTTTATTTATTTATTTGAGAGAGAGAGAATGAGAGACAGCACGAGAGGGAAGAGGGTCAGAGGGAGAAGCAGACCCCCCGCTGAGCAGGGAGCCCGATGCGGGACTCGATCCCGGGACTCCAGGATCATGACTGGAGCCGAAGGCAGTCGCTTAACCGACTGAGCCACCCAGGCGCCCTAACTGTACTGTTCTTTGGTGCATTTCTCAATCTTAGGATGTGGTCTTTGCAGAAGAAATAGCATCAATCAATATATCTATATTTTTTATATATAAAGGGTATTCATAATATAGTTTCAGTGGGAGTAGTGAGAAGTATTGAGAGCAAGAATATATTGTCATAGGTATAGTGATCCTTCAACTTTGGGGTTCTGCTGAATGGGGCAGGGAGCATTCCTACTTCCCCCCGGTTGCAATGTCTCTTCAAATGTTGAGTGTTTCCGTTGGTGTCCTGGATATTTCCAACTGGTTGTCTTGCCAAATTACTTGTGTACCATCAAGGTCATCTTGGTACTAATTCTCACTGCATATGCAACCAGCTTCCTGGTTTTATCCCTACATAAGTTAATGACTTCTTCAGAATTGTAGAGGCTCAAAACTTCCGTCTGGTAAAATTGACAAAAAAAAAAAAAAAAAAAGGATTGATTGGAACTTTATCTTGAAGCAAGAGACAGAAAACAATGAAATAATTTTTCTGTCTTTAACTCAATTTAGATTTTAACGACAACTGTACTAAATCTTAACAGTGAACAAAGAAGAAATCACGTGCTTCATTTTTTGGTGCGATTTTTATTTTTTTTGGACAAAATTGTACAATGGTATAAGATGTGTGATGTTCTCAGGACAACCTTAATGAGAATCATTTTGGAAAATAGATTTGAGGGCTTTATGAAAGAGGTACTTCTTAAAACTTTGATATTAAGTCATTCCTTTTGAAATTCTCAGGAGTTATTTACTAATTTATTTTTCTGTAGTGGTCTTATGGCCCTGGGCTATGGACGTGTTTATATAGAGTGGCTTTGCCTTCCTTCTGATGGGGCCCCAGTGGTTTTGCCATTCCAGACTAGCTGTTATATTAATTTCTTAGGTTAGACCATTCTAGCTCATGCATAGTCTAAACTCAGAACCCCCCTCTAAGTATGGCACAGACATAGGATGAGTACTTGTGAAGGGTACCTGTTCCACAGAGCTGAAAATAGTTGCTGCATGGCCCTTTATAGAGGAAGTGTGGGATCATGATGGCCTGTTTCATCCATTCATGGCTCTGGGCAGTTGGCAAGCCCCCTTGCTGCTTTCCCCACCTTGTGGACAGAATCACTGCTTGGGCTGGCTTTCTGCAGGGATCTGTTGAAAGGGTTAGGACCCCTCAGCTTCTCTACCCACACTGTGATAAAACCCCAGTGCTAACCCCCAGGCCCTGTATCTGACCCAAATCCATGGAGCCTGCCATGGTGCCAATTCCCTTGACTGCTCTGGCTTTCAAGTCTCTCTTTGTTCTGGCTTCTGGGCATTTATCTTTCACGCTCAGGTGAATATTAAATTTTCTGTTATATTTTGTCCTGTGCTGTATGTGTTCATAGAGAGTGGGGAGCTCTTTTGTCTTGCTGCTCAAGAGGACTTTTTTCTCAATAATATTGTAATAATTTATGGTGACCGATGGTGACTACACTTATGTGAGCACTGAGTGCTGAGAAATGTGCAGAATTGTCAAATCAACGTGTTGTACCTGAAACTAACATGATGTTGTGTGTCAATTGCATTTTGATAAAAAATGCATACTCTAAAATTTTTTTAAAAAGTAGGACATTTCTCAATGCAAATTCACTGTTTACAATCAGACTTTATTCTATTTTAGAATGAGTTGCAGAAGTTCATGGATGTTACATTTGAAAAGATTCAAAACACAAATCAAGCTCTAAGTATGTTAAAGAAATTTGAAAGGTAAAAAACAATAGAATTTGAAGCAAATTCTATTCTATTTTCTAAAACTGGGGTCATATGAGCATAGTTTAGCTTATTTTGTTATTATTAATTATTTTTTCATATTCTAATGGAAAGAAAATCCTTTCTTGTCATTCAGCATAACAAAGTCTCAGTTTTTAAGTTCTTCAGATGATTAAGAATTTGTTTTATTTCCTGTTAGCTTTGAAGTAACTTGTAACTGCCTTTCATATTAATGTTTAAGTAACTTGAAAAAATTCTTACCAGATTAATGGTTTTGCCTAGATTTTAAGGATTGATACTATTTTTTTTTTAAGTAAACTCTGTTTCCAACATGGGGCTTGAACTCATGACTCTGAAATCAAGAGTCACATGCTCTACTGACTGAGCCAGCCAGGCACCCCAATCCTATTTTTTAAAACTACTTTATAGTGATATAATGGATAGATTGATATTATTTTGATTTTTTAAAAATGCCAAATACCTCATTCTTTTCCATTACCATATGTTTTTTAAAGGTTTTATTTATTTATTATTTGAGAGAGAAAGAGAGAGTGAACAGGGGGAGGAACAGAGGGAGAGGAACAAGCAGACTCCATACTCAGTGTGGAGCCTGACGCAGGGCTTGATCTGAGATCATTACCTGAGCCAAAACCAAGAGTCGGACACTTCACCGACTGAGCTACCCAGGTGCCCCTCCATTACCATATGCTTTAAAATAAACCTTAATAAAGGAGATTGCTAGATATCTTCTCATTAATTCAAACCATTTGCTTTTTTAAAAAATCAGATTGAACATACCTAATCTTGGTATTGATGACAAATATCGGCGTGTTCTTGAGAACTATGGGGCTGACATTGATATGATCTCTAAGCTGTATACAAAGCAGAAATGCGATCCTCCTTTGGCTCGAGATCAGCCTCCCATCGCCGGGAAGATTCTTTGGGCCCGTCAGCTCTTCCACAGGATTCAGCAACCAATGCAGCTTTTCCAGCAGCACCCAACTGTGCTCCAGACGGCTGAAGCCAAGCCCGTGATTCGCAATTACAACAGAGTAGCCAAGGTACTCCTGGAGTTTGAGGTTCTCTACCACAGGGCATGGCTTCAACAGGTGAGTCTCTACATGTGTGCTCCTCAAAGACGTCTACATTGTCAAATCAGTGGGAAACCCTCTGCTAGCCCAGGGCAGTTTTATTCCTGTAGAAAGTTGGATTTGTGGGTATTTCCTAAGGCAGGTTTGGTTGAATGTAGATAATCAAAGAGTACAATATGTCCATGAAGAAAAATAATGATTAATTTTGAAAAAAAAATTATAAGCCAGGTAACAGAAACTCATTTTTATTTAATTTACAGACTCCTAAGGGAGAAAGAAGATCCTGTTTATTGGTTGTTTTACCTAGTTGATTAGGATTTCTGACTTATTTTCTATCCATTAAGTTCTGTAATGGGTCAGTAAATACTAGTATGTCTCTGTTAAGCAAAGTCTTAAATTTTCTTTGGTTATACTAGGTTCGTCAAATTGTATTTCATACCCTACCAACACTTGTATCTCTCTGTAGATTGGCAGGAAGTGTCTCAGAGGATAAAATTCAGGCTGACAAAGCTACTTTGGTGTCTCATTCTCCTGGTTCAGCTTTTGGTGACTGAGCCAATAACAGAGATGTCCCCATAGGGGTATTCATTGTTTTCCTAGATAACTGAAAACTGAGTTTAGTAGATTTTATGAAACTTTTGTTAGGAAAAATAACGGAATAGGCATGAAGGTACCTCGGAGCTAAACGGCTTTTGAGAAGCCCCCACTCTTGCACTCTTGTCTACTTATCTGTCGGGTGTGAGAGAGTCACAACCCAGACGTTTTGTCAGATTGACTGCATAGCTTCACTTGAAGCTTGAAGGCCCTTTTCTGAAAGTGACCTTAGAAGAAGAGTGTTGTCTTTAATTTGAGAAGCTCGAATCCATGTGAGAATACTTCCTGGTCAGCGTTCCCAGAAATGCTGAGCTAGATACCCTGTGTAGGCATTGAACTTTCCAATAGTAAAAATGTTGATCTCTCTTCACACAGGTTGAAGAAATTCACATAGGACTTGGGGCATCTTTATTGGTGAAGGCTCCACGCACAGGGGAATTGTTTGTAAACTTTGATCCTCAGATATTAACCTTATTTAGAGAAACAGAGTGCATGATGCAGATGGGTCTAGAAGTTTCACCATTTGCAGCTGCCCTGTTCCAGAAACGGGATGTATACAAAAAGAACTTCAGTAACATGAAGGTATGGTACTTTAATTTTTTTCCTCCTTTCTGGCTAGCCCCAGTTTGTATTAAAAAAAATCTGGTGGTGTGTCACTGTTGAGGGGTAGTAAGTGCCCAGGATGACTGAAATGGAGACTGAGAGGGAATGAGACTCTAGGGTCAGCAAGGGCCTGCTCATCACCGATCTCATAGACCCAGGGTATAAGTTTGAATGCACCAGGAAGCCATTGTAGGAATTGAAGCAGGAGAAAAAGGCATGATGCTTTTTATAATAAAAATTGTTCTTATTGCTAGGTAGAGAATAGATGTTAGGGGGACAAGAGTGTCAGTGTGAAGGCAGCGTGCAGGCTGTTGTATTGGTTCAGGTTGCAGATGAGGGTGGCTTAAAATAGGGTGGCAGCTGAGTGGTAGATCCGTGGATTAGAGAATAATGTCAATAGCAGGTTATGAGGGAACTCGAGGATGATTCCTTTGTTTTTGGTGTGAGCGACGCAATGGATTTACTAAAGTAGGGCGATTATGTATTACTGTGTAGGTCATTTTTCTGTATAACTTTTGCTCAGTAACATGCCGTGGCCCAGAATGAAAGTTCCATTTACAGAGATGGCAAAGACTGGATCTACTATATTTTGGAAGACAGGAGGGAATCAGTAATTTCCATCTGAAGCATAAGATGATTTTTAGAGTTCGAAATGGAGGTGTTATTCATGCAGATAGATATGTTAAGTCTGGAGTTGAGTGGAGAAGTCAAAGTGGAAGGCATAGTTTTGAGAGTTTTAAAAATATAGTTGGTATTTAGGGGCACCTGGCTGGCTCAGTCAGAAGAGCATGCAACTTTTTTTTTTTTAAGATTATTTATTTGAGAGAGAGCGAGAGAGAGAGAGCATGAAAGGGGGAAGGGGCTGAGGGAGAGAATATCTAAGCAGCCTCCCTCTGAGCACAGAGCCCAACGTGGGGCCCGATCCCATGACCCATGAGATCAGGACCTGAGCTGAAACCAAGAGTTGGATGCTCAACTGACTGAGCCACCCAGGCACCCCATGAGCATGCAACTCTTGATCTTGGGGTCATGAGTTTGAGCCCCACATTGGGCATAGAGATTGCTAAAAAAAAATAAACTTGAAATATAGTTGGTTTTTAAAGTCATTGTCCTGGGTGAGATGTCCAAGGAAGAGAATAAAGATAAAGAAGAGTAGAGGGCCTAGGCTAAACTCTGGTTGTCCCAATATTAACAGGTCTGATAGAGGAGGATGAGTATGCAAATAAAATTAAGGATTGGTCATTGAGGTGGGAAGAAAGGGTTAGAAAATCCTCATGCGGGAGGGAATGATCATCAGTGATGAGTGCATCTTGTGCAAGGTGAGTGCAGAGATGCAGCCATGGTATTTGACAAGTGGAAAACCTCATTACAGTTTTATACTGCCTAACCTCATAGGATGGGGCCAGTGAGGCCATGCCTTTGCATAATGCTTTACATTTTAACCATTCATTATTCCATGTGATCTTATCCATAGCCACGTTAGGTGATTGGGATAGAATATTATCATATTATCTTATGACAAAACCATGGTTCAGAGAAGTTAAATGACTTAGCCAAGTTTTCATATCTAGTAAATGGCAGAAGTAGCACCTGAACCCAGACTTGTAGTCTACTGTTTTCCACTCCTTCATGTTATATTAAAAAGCTAATATTGTCAATGGACCGACATTCCTCAAATGTGGGCCCATCAAATACTGGTCAGCATGTTGAGATTCCCTTTAGACTTTTCTTGCCTGTTAGGAAAACCACTTAGTCAATTTACATATTTGCAAAGAAACTAGTATTTTTTACTAAGAAATAATATTTATCAGAATATAAAGTTGCTAATAATAATTTTGTCCACAGAATTATTATTTCAGTTATCTATTGCAGGTTAACAACCAACCTCAAAATGTAGTGGCTTAAAACAATCATTTCATTATATTTCATGATTTCATGGATAAAGAGTTTAAGCAAGCCTTGGCTAGGTGATTCTTCTGTTCCATGTGGCATTGACTAAGATTATTTAGTTCAGCTGGCAGGTGTTGGATCTGGAAGGTCCAAAGTGACCTCATTCTCGTGTCTGGTTCTTTGATGAGTATAGCACAAAGTTTCACTCAGTTGGGATTAAGGACTGGAGCATCTATGTGTGGTCTTTCAGGATGGAGGCCTCAGAGTAGTAGAATTTCTTATGTGGTTAATTCAGGGTCCTAAGAGAGGACATTGCAGTAAACACAGAGGAAGCTGCATGGCTTTTAGGACAGCCTCATAGGTCTTAGCATCACTTCTGTTGTAATCAGTTGGGCTCCAGAAGTCCACCCAGATGCAAGGAGAGAGGACATGTATCCTACACCGTGAGGGAAGGAGGATCAAAAAATGTTTTAAAATGTTAAAATGTCATATAAATGACAATTCAAGGAAGTAAATTGTCATCTGGTTGACATTTATTGTATCTTTGAGGTTGAAAGAGTGAAAGATCCCCACCCAACACGAGTGGCTGGTAGGAACAGATCTTTCGGAGGGTTTGGGGGACTACCTCCGATGTTGCAGAGTTATTGTGCTGAATATTTAACAGAGCTCTCTGGCTCCCACAGATACACCAAGGTAGCTGAGGGATTGTTTTCTTCAACTTTTCCTTGGAATGGAGTTCAAAAAGAAATGAGCCTGCCTAGACTAACAATTACGAGTATAGATTCTAAAGCCGATTTGATCTGGATACAAACCATTATCTTTGCGCAAATTATTTTACCCTTCTAAGCCTCAGTTTATCATCTATAAAATGAATAATATCTCATGGGGTTAAAAAGGATAAAAGGGGAGAAGTAAAATGATTTGCTTCCCAGATAGAGTAAGTGATGGACATTGAGAAAAGATAAGCCGTGGATAAACGCTTCAGCAAATGTGTAAGTAGCTGCTCATAGAACCACACAATGCAGACTTTTCCAAAGTGGCTTTTATGGAAATTGAAAGAATATAGAGAAATTGTGGAAAAGTATTATATGAAGAAAGGATTATGTGGCCCGTTTGGGCCATTACAGTATAAAACTGTAATGAGGTTTTCCACTTGTCAATTTAACAAAATTCAGAAAATTTCATTGGGCTTCTTACTTTGTTCTTACAGTTTTCTCAGAATCGTTAATATTAATTGTGATTGTCCAAGAGGGGAGATAGTTACCCATCCATGGACCGTTTTTCTTTTTTTTTTTTAATAGAATCTCTTAGGGCTAGTAATCCAAGGAAAACACTTGGGTAAACATTGATCTAATGACAAAGTAATATCAACATGCATATTACAAATATGAACTTAAAAACAGTTGTATTTGAGAAGTGTGTTCAAGTTACCTTCTTACAATTAATTATTATTAATACTAACATTACCAAAAAAGATAGGCTGGAAGTGCTTTTAGTCTTATTTAAAATGGTAACATATGAACAAAGGACCGACACAGTTCAATATTATACAACAGGTAAATTTCAGTGTAGGAACAGAATCCATGAGTTTCTAATCACAAATGCTCCTGATAACAACTAATTAATAAATTAGGGAAATATTGATTGACCATCTCCTATGTGCCCGGTACTGTTTCAGGTGCGTTGAACAAAGCGGACAAAATTCTTGTTCTTATAGAAACTCTTGTCCTTATATTCTAGTTGGGTAATACAGCAAATAACCCATGAACCTTAAAAATAGGTAAGTTACATAGTCTATTAGACAGTGATAGGCATATGGAAAAAATAGAGCAGGGCAAAGAGGATAGTAACTACCTGTGTAGGTAGTTTTTGATGATGGTTTACAAACTTAAATAGGTATTTGGGATAGGCCTGATTGAGAGGATGGCATTTGAGTAATTATTTGAAGGGGATGCAAAGTCCCTGAGGCTAGCGACCAGCAAGGAAGACAGTAGGGCAGGACTGGGTAAGGGATGAGAAGAATGATTACAGAAGAGATCAGAGAGGTAATGGGGACCAGCCTGGGTAGAACTTTGCAGACTCACATAAGAACTTGTAGGGGGAGACGAACCATGAGAGACTATGGACTCCGGGAAACAAACTGAGGGTTTTAGAGAGGAGGCAGTGGGGGGATGGGTTAGCCTGGTGATGGGTATTAAGGAGGGCACATATTGCACGGAGCACTGGGTGTTATATGCAAACAATGAATCATGGAACACTACATCAAAAACTAATGATGTACTGTATGGTGACTAACATAATAAAAAAAATAAAATAAATGGATTTCTTTGAAACAGCATAGAGTTGAGGCTTATTCTTTTGTGTTGAAGTTGACAAAATCTTTTAGTTTGTTTAGACCATTCAAACTTAAAGTGATTATTGACATTTTTGGGATAAAATCAATCATGCTCTGTTTTTTTTATTATGTTCAGTTAGCCAACATATAGCACATCATAAGTTTTTGTTGTAGTGGTCAATGATTCATTAGTTGCTTATAACACCCAGTGTTCATCCCAACACGTGCCCTCCCTAATACCTATCACCCAGGTACCCCATCCCCTCACCCCCCTCCCTTCTGTAACGCTCAGTTTGTTTCCTGGAGTCCAGAGTCTCTCATTCTTTGTGCTGTATCTGTTTTTATTCATTGCATTTGTTCTTTATTTTTTATTGTCTTATGTGCTTTTAATTGAACATTTGACATGATTTCATTTTATCTTCTCTTGGTATGTCATTTATACTTCTTTAAAAACATTTTTAGTGGTTTGCATTAGGGCTTACAGTAAGTATTTTGAATAAGTCCTCCTTCAAATAACACTGTATACACCTCTTCACATGTAATGCAGTACGCTTATCACAGGGTATTCCTAATTCTAATTGTCCCTTGTGATATTGTTGTCATTCATTTTTATTTATCCATATGCTATAATCATTGTTTCTATTTATTACTATTTTTAAAAAGTTTTTTACATTAGAAATAAGAAAAATAAAAGATTTTTATTTTTCCTTCATTTAGTCCTTCACTGATGTTCATTTCTCATTTACGTAATCCAAGTTACTGAGTGTTTTGCAGTACCCCTAGAGAAAAGGATCAACCTCCAGCCACCTAATCCATTGGTTTGGATGTCAACACTGATAACACAACAAACAGGCCAAGCAGGTATAAGTAGGTTTATTATTCATATAATGGGCCTTTCTGAGGACAGAAGGGCAGGCATCTAATCTGGTTCAGAAAGACTTTAGTAAAGGGAGGGGGAAATTATTGTTTTTATTGTGTTTAGAGGGTGGGGCCAAATGAGGGTTTCCATATATGGGCCAGGAGTTTGCATGGTTTGAACTTACCCATAGGCACCAAGGCACAGAACAATCAGGCTGTCTTATCTGCTTCTGCAGATGCGAGGCAGAGGTGAGTGGCGAGGTGTGAAGCCTGTAAGCTCTCAGCAGTCAAACAACAAAAATGTACTCATGCTCCTTACTACAATTTACTTTTGATAGTTTACTACTGACTGAAATGTGTTGTGTTCTATTTAATTAAATTTTATTTTGTTTATGGAACTCTAAGGGGCTTGTGGCCTGAAGCTGGAAGTTGGAAGTAAGGAAGATGGAAGTTCAATTGGATGCCTATTCAAAAACCTGGTGTTGTGTATTTTAAGTGAAATGAGTGTCTTAGTCTTATCTGGAATGTCAAAAGGGATAAAATTTTTGGTGTAACTTTGTACAGTAGCTTTTCTATATTGTTAGGGACTGAGTTATGTCTCCCCAAAATTTATATGTTGAAGCCTAATCTACAATGTGACTGTATTTGGAAATAGGGCCTTTTTAAAAAATTTTATTTTATTATGTTTTGTTAGACACCATGTTACATCATTAGTTTTTGATGTAGTGTTCCATGATTCATTGTTTGCTTATAACACCCAGTGCTCCATTCAATAGTGCCCTCCTTAATACCCATCACCGGGTTAACCCATCCCCCCACCTCCTCCCCTCTAAAACCCTCAGTTTGTTTCTCAGAGTCCATAGTCTCTCATGGTTCATCTCCCCTCTGATTCCCCACCCCCCTTCATTTTTCCCTTCCTCCTATCTTCCTTTTTTTTTAAACATATAATGTATTATTTGTTTCAGAGGTACAGGTCTGTAATTCATCAGTCTTACACAATTCACAGCGCCCACCACAGCACATACCCTCCCCAGTGTCCATCACCCAGTCATCCCCTCCCTCCCATCCCCCACCACTCCAGCAACCCTCAGTTTGTTTCCTGAGATTAAGAATTCCTCATATCAGTGAGATCATATGATAC